TTTTTTTATCGTGGGGGGGGGGGAGTTTTTGTTTTTTGAGACAGGATTTCTCTGTGTATCCCTTGCTGTCCTTGAAGTCGCTCAGTAGAGCAGGCTGGCCTGGATCTCAGAGATCTGCCTGCCTCCGCCTCCTGAGTGTCAGGATTAAAGGCGTGCACCACCACCACCAAGCGGCAAATTGCGCTTTGTAACAAGACTATTTTTATGTTATGTGGGTGATCCTGCTTTGTCTTTCGATGGGGCTTGCTATGTAGTTCAGGCTCCCCTGGAACTCACTGCACACCAGGTTGGACTGGAATTTGCTATGAAGACAAGCTGGTCTTGAACTTGTGGCATCATTCCTGTTTCTGTTCCCAAGTTCTAGAATGACAGATGTGTGCCACTATGCTCAGCTTTCCAGTTTTCTGAGTGGCATTTTATTGAGATGTAATTCACATACTATGGAGTCTGCCTTCGCCCTTTTTATTTGCAATGCTGGGAACTGAGCCCAGGCCAGCCAGATGCTCTACTGTTGAGCTACATCCCTAGCCCAAGTTTGCCCTTTTAAGCTGCACAGTTAGTGGGTTGCACTGTTGTGTATCCATCCCTACTGTCTAAGTCCAGGACCTTTTTGTTACACCTTAAAGAAGCCTCGCACTTATTAGCAGCCACTTCCTATTCCCTCCTCCCCCAGCTCTGGGACACCATTAGTGTATTTTCCATCTTTGAGAATTTGCAAGGCCTGGACATTTTGTGGAAATGAAATGATGCTATGTGCCTGCTGTGTGACAAAACTTTTCCTGGGGAGACACAACACATATGTCTGTTCACCTCAGACAGAGATCCCATGACAAGCCAAAGTATGGCTACCACTATAGTCCAACATTGTGAAACAACAGATTTTATAGGAGTTACAGTACAGGTGAGGGGTTTCGTACAGGAACAGAAATGACTCACAGACAGTTGCATCACCAAGGCTCACCCCAGCACAGGTGACAGCTCACAAAAGCTGAAGACCTGGAGCATACTGTATAGCCTGTAGGCAGCTCAACAGGTTAGAGCGTGTCCTTTCTTACCGACTCAGGTCTAAACCTTTTCCAGGCAGTTTCTAGCAGCCAGACTGTTTTCTGATTCTTCCAGACAGGTGATCTGCTCTCAGAATCTTCTTTGCAGCTTTCCTCCTCTGAAAGTCTTCTTTGTAATTCAGCTTCACTTCATGAGAGAGAGAGACTCAGCTTTTAATGTTTATTCTAGCAGAAAAGGAGCCTAGTGAATCTGGTCAGTTTCAGGAACTTCCTGAACCTATTTTGAGTTGCCTTCTTGCATAAGGAATTTCCTATAGGGTGGAATGTTTTAAGCTGGGAGGAAATTGTTACACAACAGTACTTGCCATGCCAGGATGGCCTGGCCCACATGGTGTCTTCATGGTGCCCATGCTGCTTGGGCATCAGGACCTTGTTCCTTTAATGACTAAGTTTTTACTGCGTGGACACACCACAGTTTGTTCCTCTATTCCTATCTGGAGGCCATATTGGATTGGAGGCTTTATTTGTAGGTTACTTCCTTCCCTTCACAGAGTGTTCGGGCTTTGTGTCAGCCACTATCATGACCCCCAGTCATTTCTACTGGCTTTTTATATCATCTTATGGTGCATGTGTAATAGCTTGAACCTCTTGGGGTACTTAGATAGCTCAGTCTCTTTGCTTCCTTCCTGGGATCAGGGGACCTTGGTGGAGCTATGATCACCTAAGTCATGGATTCCTCGGTGTGTGGGTTCTCCAGAACCAATGGCACAGCCAAGGCACCACTCAACTTGTGATGGCAGGCCCAGTTCTCTCAGGCTGAGCCTGACCCAGAGCACCACCTCATCACTCCATGGGGGGTCTCCCTCTGAGCTCTCCCTTCCAGGACCTTGCCCTGGTACATCAGCTCTTGTGAGGGGCTTGTTTTGTGATCCCCCTTCTCAAGTCCTCTTTTGGTAGCCCGGTGTATTCAAAGTCATAACCACTTTCCTGCCTCATTTGTGTTCCCGAAGTTCTCACTTAGAGTTGGCTGAGAGGATGTGAAGACACCAGACTCATCAGATGGTGGTGGTGCTCGTCTCTAATCCCAGCACTGGCAGGCAGAGACAGGCAAATTTCCGAGTTCAAGGTTAGCCTGATATATACAGTGAGTTCCAGGATGGCCAGGGCTACACAGAGAAACCCTGTCATGAGAAGCCAACCAACAAAACAAAACCCAAAAGCAACCACTAATACAAAACAAAATAAAACAACAACTCCCCCTCCCCCCCCACCAGACTCAGCAAGGAACCCCGTGGCTCCCCAGCAGCCAGCCTAGCAATCTAGCAAATGAGCAACCCTATCTCAGAAAAACAGGATGAAATAATAGAGTTGTTCTGAACACACACCTGAGGCTGTCCTCTAGTCTCCACGTGCATGAAAACATATGCACACATGCATTTGTGTATGATTCACAGATGCTCACATATATGTACACATATGTACATCCATGCAGACACACTACATGATAGAGCCAACCTGCTTTCCTGGGAAGCTTCTTTAAATATCGATGGCTGAGACATAACCCCAGGCCACTTATTCCAGAATCTTTGATGTGGTGCCTGGACATTGGTGTTTTCTTAAATCCGCGGAGTGATTTTTCCCTGCATGCAGGCTGAAAGCCACTAGGCTAGCTCCATGCTGGCCCTAATCATAGATGTGTTTTCTCCTACCAAGCCTTTGGAACTCAAGCAAGAGCCGTGTCGCGAATTAGTCTAAGGTTGGCTTTGTATTTGCTATAGAACTCCAGTCAAGTCCCTTCCCCCTCTCTGTTTCGGCAAAACAGGGCTTGCAGGGATGGAGAGATGGCTCAGCAGTTAAGAGCCCTCCCTGCTCTTCCAGAGGATCCAAGTTCAATTCCCAGCACCACATGGCAGCTCACAGCCAACTGTAACTCCAGTTCCAGGAGGTCTGGCGCCCTCTTCTGGCTTCCGTAGGCACTGCACACGTGTGATGCACAAAGATACATGCAGGCAAAACACCCATACACATAAAATACAAATACATTTTCAACAAGGTTTGTTGTGTGTCAGCGGCTTGCCTACGGGGGTGGGGAATGAGAGGTGAGGGGTGGGAGTGAGCATGTATTTAAAGTCACCTGGGAGCATTTTCAGAAATCCAAGCGGGCAGCTCAGCTCTGAAAGTTGAGAGCAGCCTAACCGTGGTTTCAAACACTGCAGGAGTGAATCATCCTTCTCTTGGGAGGAAGCGTTCAATGGAATCATGCATCTAAGTGAATGACTTTTTAAACAACAAGTAACTTCAGCACTAATTATTGTAGCGTTTCCTCAAATCCCCCACTGCGTGGCTTGCGCCATTTTGCACTCATGCCAGCAACAAGTGAACCTTCTTGTTTAGCTAGAGCCTCACCAATAGGAGGTATTGTGAGATGGCCCAGGGTTTTGCCTAACCATTAGGGTGTGTTGTCAGGTGGCCCAGTGTTTTGCTTAACCAATAGTGTGTTTTGTGAGGTGGCCCAAGCTTTCACTAGTCTGATCAGTGAGGAGCACAGCCCAGTAGCTTTGATCTGGGTGTCTCCCTCCTGAGTGTCTTCTCAGTGTTAAGGCCTGCTAGTCTTCCTTTTGTAAACTTTTTTTTTTCCCTTCTCTGAACCTAGAGTCCCATGCACACTGGGCAAGCTCTATCGGTGAACTGTATCCCCTAGTCTTTCTGTCATCTTTTGATTGTGAGTTGAGGTCTTAAATCTGTTGCACTGGCAGGCGGGCCTTGAATTTATGATTCTCCTGCCTCACTGGGCCTGACTAATACGTTCTTTCTTGTGTTCCTAACCTGCTTTCCTATTGCAGACATTTCCTCCAGCTCATTGTCTTTTTTTAAACGTGTGTGTGTGTGTGCGTGCGTGCGTGCATGCGTGCGTGCGTGTCTGTCTGTCTGTCTGTCTGTGTCTCTAGGGATGGGATCCAGGGCGTTGTGCTCTGCCCCTGAGCTGCACAGGATGGTTTGCCTTCCTCTGTTTGGCGTTCCATGCAGTATTTGTGTAATCAATACATCGATTCCCCCCCTCCAACGCTTCCAGTCCTCGTTTGTTGTTAGTCTCTCTTGATCCTTCCTGAGTCTCCTGTGCTGTTTCTAGTTTTCTACCTGTATTTTGTTTGTTAGTATTCATCCTGTGTTCAAGGTCCTATGAAATGTCACTTCCTGTAAGGTGGAGACTTGCATGCAGTTTTAGGAAAAAGCCCCTTTGGCTGTGAAGGAGTAAGTCACATCAAAGAGCTGGCCTCAGCTGGAGCTAGTAGTCCTGTGGGGTAGAGGCAAGGGGGCCTGGGCTAGTCTCTGGGTGTGCATTCCACCCAGGGAGAGCATATAAAGCGCTCCCCCTAGCCAGTGAGCACCACTAAGAATGGTCCTCAGCTTGGCGGTCTTTCAGTCCTGAAGCAGGATGCCACAGCATCCTTGGCATCTCATTTGTCTAGTTCACTGCTATGTGCTCTACCCTCTGAGGTTTATCTGGGAAATCTCTGGTGAGTGGATGAAAGACAAGCGTCGGCTATGAAAACATACGTACAAGTGACATCTGGAGGGAGCAGGATGTATTTATATGTTTAGGAACGCATACATATGTACCAACAACATACATGTGCCAGTGAGTTTGAGAACTGGGGAAAGGGATACATAGGAAGAGTTAGAGGGAAGAAGGCAAAGGGAGAAAATGATGTAATCATAGTATAATATCGGGGGGAAGAGCACAAATTCTGATTTCCAGCCAACAGGATCACAATGGCCAGAGTGGGTGCAGTGGGGTACTGCACCCCTACGCCGGGGTGTCTAGTCATTTCCTCTAGTCCTTCTGGTCAGTCTGTCCTGAGCAAGGTGCTTGGTGATCCCTGGATCAGCCGTGGGAGCTGGTTAGCACACCTCAGTGTGACTCCGTCTTGTGATACCACTTTGGATGTGTGTCATCTTTGTGACCTTTCAGTCTGCTTTCTTCTTTCCCTTTAGCATTCCTTGAAGAAAAGAGGAACCCGGTCTCTAGGGAAGACAGATAAGAAGCCTACTCCACAGGTAGGTCCTCAGCACCCCCTTCACGCACCCTGCAGTTTGTAGTTTGGATGCTCAGACCAACTTTATGTGTCCTGGGTAGTCCCCAGAGGTCCCTATCCCTTCCCAGTGTCTCTCCTCCCCCAACCCCCATGCATTTTCTCAGCTCCCCATTTAGTTCCTCCCAGCCCACTCTGGCCCCGTCCTTAGACACTCCTGGACCCGCAAATTAAAAAGCCAAGGTGAGTCAGTTCCTCCGGTGCTTGATTGCCACCCAACAGATGCAAATCACTCCAGTTTTCGAGTCTGTTTCCTCATCCCTTCCTGTTCTGTGGGTTTGTGTAAGAACTGGATACAAGCACCATGTTGTGCACAGGCCAGGCCCAGAATCCTATTAGCAGCCAGGGTGCCAGGCATTTTTTGTGCGTTTTCCCATTTAAGAGTCATCATGTGAGAGAAATGCCTCTGCCCATTTTTATAGACGGGGCAGCTCTACCAGGAATGGTCATAGTCATATGTCGTCAGAATGTCACCTACTCCCAGACTTCCAGGATGTAGGTAGTGTGTCCTGGCCTCTTAATATCAATGTCCCCGCTCTCTATCCTGTGGCCTCCAGGCCTTGAGAGCCAAGCTGATTCACCCCTGTGTTGTCAGACAGTCACTGCACCCCAGAATCCTGTGGCTGGGTCCAAGCTGACACTAACCTTCCCTGATGCTGCCTGTCTCCGTGCCCATTGGACTGCAGGAGGATAGTGCAGACCTGAAGTGCCAGCTGCATTTTGCAAAGGAGGAGTCGGCCCTCATGTGCAAGAAGCTCACCAAGTTGGCTAAGGAGAATGACAGCATGAAGGAGGAGCTGCTCAAGTACCGTTCTCTCTATGGGGACCTGGATGCAGCCCTGTCTGCTGAGGAGCTGGCAGATGCTCCGCACTCCCGCGAGACTGAGCTGAAGGTGCACCTGAAGCTGGTGGAGGAGGAGGCCAACCTGCTGAGCCGGCGCATCGTGGAGCTGGAGGTGGAGAACCGGGGCCTGCGAGCCGAGATGGACGACATGAAGGACCACGGGGGTGGCGGGGGTCCCGAGGCCAGGCTGGCCTTCTCTTCTCTGGGTGGTGAGTGCGGGGAGAGCCTAGCCGAGTTGCGGCGCCATCTGCAGTTCGTGGAAGAGGAGGCTGAGCTGCTGAGGCGCTCCTCAGCCGAGTTGGAGGACCAGAACAAGTTGCTGCTGAACGAGCTGGCCAAATACCGCTCGGAGCATGAGCTGGACGTGACGCTGTCGGAGGACAGCTGCTCGGTGCTCAGCGAGCCGTCGCAGGAGGAGCTGGCAGCCGCTAAGCTGCAGATCGGCGAGCTCAGCGGCAAGGTCAAGAAGCTTCAGTATGAGAACCGCGTGCTCCTCTCCAACCTGCAGCGCTGTGACTTGGCCTCCTGCCAGAGCACACGCCCCATGCTGGAGACGGATGCTGAGGCTGGGGACTCCGCGCAGTGCGTGCCTGCCCCTCTGGGTGAGACGCTGGAGCCCCACGCCGGCCGGCTCTGCAGGGCCCGTGAGGCCGAGGTGCTGCCCGGCCTACGGGAGCAGGCCGCTTTGGTGAGCAAGGCCATCGACGTCTTGGTGGCTGATGCCAATGGCTTCTCAGTCGGCCTCCGCCTGTGCCTGGACAATGAGTGCGCTGACTTGCGATTGCACGAGGCGCCTGACAACAGCGAGGGCCCCAGGGATGCCAAGCTTATCCATGCCATCCTGGTGCGTCTGAGTGTGCTGCAACAGGAACTGAACGCCTTCACCCGCAAGGCAGATGTGGTCTTGGGGAGCTCTGGCAAGGAGCAGCCCGAGCCCTTTCCTGCTCTGCCCACCTTGGGCTCCCAGGGGCCTGCTAAGGAGATCATGCTGTCCAAAGACCTCGGCTCTGACTTCCAGGTAAGATGCCACAGGCCAGGGTCTTGTTACTTTTGTTACAAACATGTTCTGAGCCAGGCACATGACAGAGAAGGACAAAAACCCCATGTGCACAACTTCACAACTGTCCTGCAGGGAACAATCCTGACCGTCACCTAGAACATGACCAGCCCCGAGACAGCCCTGGTTGACCTCTGCTCGACAGGATAACTTCCTGGTTGTACCCATCTTTTAGCTTTATATAAATAGAATTCTATAGACCAAACTCATCAGTGCCTGGCTGTGTTCACTTAGCTGACTATTTGCTGTTGGGGGAGGGGAGGAGGGGGAATGTATTCATTCCCATCTAACTAGGAATAAGCCTGCTGCCGCAGCAAACTGCATTTACTATGGATGGAGATTGATTCTGAGCTCCTATCCTTTTGCTGGATTTTCCCCTTTTTCTCCCCTCCCCTCTCCTTCCCTCTCCTCTCCTCTCCTCTCCTCTCCTCTCCTCCCCAGCCCCCCCCCCCGGGGCGGGGGGCCCGCGCCCCCCCCCCCCC